GGGGGATGCAAAACGGTATGAGTTGTGAAGGTTCCTTTGGGTTCTAGTCGGTTTTCTTGTGGGAAGTGGAGGCGTCGCATTTTGGCGAGCCCTCCCTGGGGAGATGTGGTGTATTGCTGGATGCGTTTTCCATATCTTACATTTTTCATCGCCACACTCGCTCGCGTGAAATGATGGGAGGAGGGCGAGAAACGAAGCGAATAGTCGCCACCCTCTCCTTTGACCAGAAAGAGCCCTTGCTGTAGTTCCTTGGTGGCATATTGAGCCCAAAGAGAATACCCCCGTCACAAGCGCGCGTGATCGCACACACACCCCTTTCTAACCCCGAACTTCAAAGAAAGCTCGAAGTGCTCCACCACCAAGAGCCGAGATGACAAAAAACGAGCGATCGATGCACAAAGCAAGAAAGGCTCTCGTCGAGATCTATCTTTCCGACGCAACTCTCTTCGTCAGTGACAGCCTCGTGGTGGCGGAGCAATCGGACTTTCAACTTCACTCTAGGGGGTGCACACACTAAGCGGCTTGCGTGAAGTGTGCTACATAAAAGCCCCAAGCTGAAAATCCGATAGTCTTTTTTCGGCTCTCGCCAGGGGGGGGGNCTAGGTGTGCGGGATAACTTCTACGTGCACCCTTGGGGGATGTGAAAGCACTCGCACTCTTCATACAATGGAAGGAAAACGAAGAAACAGACATGATTTCGGGGGGTCCAATCAATCATGTTTTGCATGCCCTAGCGGTTAGACCGTTGTCCTCGAGAGGACAGACGGAGCGTTGTTTCTACAGGATCGATCACCGATATAGCTAGTCGCTCATGTTCCTACTTTTGCCAAGTGTGGCTCAAACATTTTGACAGTATCACTTCTCGCCTGCGCTATGCCACAGGGGGTTGAGGGTGGAGGGTGCACAACAAAGAAGGCGTGGGCTCAAGCAACTAGACAAAAAATGGTCACAGCAGTGGTCTGGGGACAAGATGCGCGTGCTTGCAGTTGGACAAAAAAAATAAACTCGGAATACGTTCAGGTAGCAACATGTCGGGGACAAGAAAGTGGTTAATGGTAAGGGATTTCGATAGGTTTGATTGTCGAACGTAATCTTAGTAACGAAACATGATTCATGTCGAAAATTCACGGTGGTGTACAAGAAATGGAATTACATCTTTTCCGGACTCGTTTTCGTAAATTTCGAGGAAGATGTCCGATTTCGGAGAGGAAACATCGATAAATTATGAAGTATTCTACATGATTGTGGGTGAAATCGGTTGGATGCACCGGGATTAATATTACCGGGACCAGTAATGCCGTAATGCTCCGCCATTTTGAGACATGTTATACGAATAGTCAAATATAAGTCGAGATATTGCGTGGTGACCATAACAGCTCCCAGAGCTCCGTTGGTAGAGCGCGGCTCTGATAAAGCCGAGGTCCCGGGTTCGAACCCCGGTGGGAGTATTCTTTTCAATAGTACCCTTTTTTTCCTCACGTTTTGTGTCCTGCAAGCGATGGGTTGCTTTGATGCGCGTCTTTTTCAAAGTTTTTATGACTTTTGCAGGGAAAGATTTGTCAGCATTGTTAGTATGCATTTCACTATCATTTTTTTTTAACTGTTGTGGCTGTTCATCAGTTAATGTGGTCTGTGTACACCTCGCTACATTTTTTTCCCCTCTTTCTCCATAGCATGATGCGCCTCCTCTGTACATGCCACGTTCGTCCGGCCTACTTACTAAAAACGTCTCCCCACAGGCCCTACTCAACCCCAACGTAGCCGATTCTATACTTTATCCAGTATGTTTGCTTACCTAGAAAAACCTGCGTAGACTACTGGCATAGTCCTTGGAAGTACCACAATGATTTGGAACAAAGGCTCACGTGGATGGTGATAGTGTTCCTCGGATGACAATACGTACGCACACGCTTACACTCACTCTGCGGAGTAACGGTGCTCCAGACGAACGACCGGCGCGGAGGGTCTTGGTAGCCGAAAAACGTCCTGTGTGTGTGGTCAATTCGTTCAAAAAATAAATCGACAAGAAACTTATACAAACACTCGTGTTCTGTGTAGCATGCCCAACGTAAAGATACCACCATGAATACCCAGGATTCAGACGATTTGTCATGCCAGGGTGACCCTAGAACACCTCTGACCAAGAAAAAGCCGGCACCGCGTGCGGTCGGGAGGCGACATCATCTTCCAGTTTCAAGCCGAGGCCTCAACCGGTGCTCGGGGCGGGGGTGGTGATGCCGCACACATATGTTTGTGTAGATGACAGGGACGTGGATGCTCAGGAACGGATTCATCGATCGGTGCACGTATGCAGGGAAGGATTTCTTAACTCGCCGGTCTGTTGTGTGGAGAGGAAACGGACGG